AGCAGATCCAAGAGACCAGGGGACCAGGAGATCCAAGAGACCAGAGGACCAGCTGTTCTGGCAGGACCAGGTAAAACAGACACTGCATCTGGGCCTGATTTCCAGTGCCTGGGGATTGCCTGGGAACTGCACAGAGCTCCCAATCCCAGCTGGAGCCAGGCACACCAGATTCCAGGTCTTCTTTCCCACCAGCAAAACAGGGACATCAGCAGTTCCAGCAAAGGGACCAGGGGACCAGGTGGGAGGCTAAGCACCCCAGATTCCTGGTCTTCTTCTCCACCCACAGGACCGGAACCAGGACTAGGAATAGAAGACCTACCAGATTATTGGACTTGCTAGCACCCACCAAAAGGGAACTCTGGTCCCATAACCACCAGACCCATAAGGGGCTCTTTCTGCACCCAATAGAAGAAGAGATGGGAAAGAGACAATACAAAAACACACTCAGCAACAGAAAAACAAATATGACACCACCATATTCTAGAGACTCCAAACCAGCAAGACTCCAACATTCCAATGCAAATGAAGCAGAAGAGAATGACCTAAAAACCACCTTAATGAAAATTATAAAGGCCCTAAGAGAGGATATAGGAAAATCCCTCAAAGAAATGGATGAAAAAACAAACCAAAAAATGCAAGAAATGGAAAAAGAAACAAAGCAAAAATGCAAGAAATGGAAGAAGAAACAAAGCAAAAAGTGCAAGAAATGGAAGAAAAAACAAACCAAAAACTACAAGAACTGGAAGAAAGAGCAAACCAAAAAATGCAAGAAATAGAAGAAAGTACAAACCAAAAAATTCATAAAATCCAACAAATGGATGAAAAACTAAACTGAAAAGTGCAAGAAACAATGCAAATAGTGCAAGGGTTGAAAACTGAAATACAGACAATAAAAAACCCACAATCTGAAGAAAGGCTGGAAATAGAAAAGCTGGGCAAATGGACAGGTACTACTGATACAAGCATTACCAACAGAATACAAGAGATGGAAGAGAGAATCTCAGGTTTTGAAGATACACTAGGAGAAATGGATTCATCAACCAAAGAATATCTTAAGTCCAACAAATCCTTAACCTAAAACATCTAGGAAATATGGGACAACATGAAAAGACCAAACCTAAGAATAATAGGTATTGAAGAAGGTGAAGAAAACCACGTCAAAGGGGCAGAAAACACATTCAACAAAATCATAGAAGAAAACTTTCCCAACCTTAAAGAAGACATGCCAATGAAGGTACAAGAAGTTTACATAACACAAAGTAGAGTGGATCACAATAAAATGTTCCCTTGCCACATAATAAACAAGACCCCAAATATACAGAATAAAGAAAAAATATTAAGAGATGCTAAGGAAAATGCCATGTAACATATAAAGGCAAACCTATCAGAATTACACCTGATTTATCCATGGAAACTCTGAAAGCCAGAAGGTCCTAGATAGATATTCTACAAACACTAAGAGACCATGGATGCCAGCCCAGACTACTATACCTGGAAAAGCTCTCAATCACTATAGATGGAGAAAACAATATATTCCATGACAAAACTAGATTCAAGCAATACGTATACACTAACCCAACCCTACAGAAAGTTTTGGAAGGAAAACTCCAATCCAAAGAAGTTAACTACAACCAGAAAAACATAGGCACTAGAGAATGCCTCTCAACCAACAGCCAAAAGAACAAAGGGGTGAAATTCCACACATAATTCCACCACCAACAATCATTCAAAATCAAAGAAGGATGAGCAATCAATGGTCATTAATATCCCTCAACATGAATGGCCATAACTCACCCATAAAAAGACATAGACTAGCAGAATGTATTCGAAGACAGAACCCATCCTTCTGCTACATACAAGAAACACACCTCACCCTCAAAGACAGACATTACCTGAGAGTTAAAGGTTGGGAAAATTTTTCCAATCAAATGGACCCAAGAAACAAGCAGGGGTAGCAATCCTAATATCTAACAAATTAGACTTTAAAACAAAATCAATCAAAAGAGATGGAGGAGGGCATTACATACTCATCACAGGGAAAATCCACCAAGATGAGTGTCTATGCTGAACATCTATACCCCAAATACAAAGGCATCCACATTCGTAAAAGAAACATTACTAAAACTTAAATCACATATAAAGCCCCACACACATATAGTGGGAGATTTCAACACACCACTATCAACCACTAGACAGGAATACCAGACAGAAACTCAACAAAGAAGCAAGGGGTCTAATAGAAGTAATGACCCAACTGGGATTAACAGATATCTTTACAACATCTCATTCACATAAAAAAGAATATACTTTTTTCTCACCACCACATGGAACCCTCTCAAAAATCGACAACATTCTTGGCAACATATCAAACCTCAACAGCTTCTAAAAAATTGGAATAACTCCATGCATCTTATCAGACCACAATGCTTTAAAATTAGAATTCAACAACAACACAAATTGTAGAAAACCTACAAACTCATGGTAATTGAATAATGCACAACTGCACCATTCCTGGGTCGAAGAAGAAATAAAAAGCGAAACTAAATACTTCCTAGAATTTAATGAGAATGCAGACACAACATACCCTTTGGGACACTTTGAACACAGTGCTACAGAGGAAGTTCTTAGCACTAAATGCCCACATGAAGAAACTGGAGAATAGTTATACTAGAGATTTAACAGCACAGCTGAAAGCTCTAGAACACAAAGAAGCAAACTCCCCCAGGAGGAGTAGACGCCAGGAAATAATCAAATTGAGGGCTGAAATCAATAAAGTAGAAACTAGAAAAACAATACTAGGAATGGATGCAATGAAGAGTTGGTTCTTTGAGAAAATCCACAAGATAAACAAAACTTTGTCCAAAATTACCAAACAGTAGAGGGTGAACATGCAAATTAACAAAATTAGAAATGAAAAGGGGGACATAATGATGGACTCTGAATTTCCTCAGGAGACAGCTTCCTGAACATAACACCAGTAGCACAGACAGTGAGACCAAAAATTAATAAATGGGACGTCCTGAAACTGAGAAGCTTCTGTAAGGCAAAGGACACAGTCAGCAAGACAAAAAGCATACAGAATGGGAAAAGATATTCACTAACCCCACATCTGACAGAGGGCTGATCTCCAAAATTTACAAAGAACTCAAGAAGCAAGTCTCCAAAACGCCAAATGATCCAATTAAAAAGTTGTCTGTAGAACTAAATAGAGAATTTTCAATAGAGGAGTCTAAAATGGCTGAGAGTCACTTGAGAAAGTGCTCAACATCCTTAGCCACCCGGGAAATGCAAATCAAAACAACTCTGAGATAACACCTCACTCCTGTCAAAATGGCTAAAATAAAAAACACCAATGACAATTTATGCTGGAGAGGATGTGGTAAAGGGGAACACTCCTCTATTGCTGGTGGGAGTGCCAACTGGTTCAGCCACTTTGGAAATCAGTATGGAGATTCCTCAGAAAAATGGGAATAAACCTACCACAAGACCCAGCAACTCCACTCTTAGACATATATCCAAAAGATGCCCATTCATACAACAAGAATGTCTGTTCTACTATGTCCATAGCAGCTTTATTTGAATAGCCAGAACTGGAAGCAACCTAGATGCCCCTCAACCGAAGGGTGGGTAGAGAAATTATGGTACATTTACACAATGGAGTACTATTCAGCAGAAAAAAACCAATGGAATCCTGAGATTTGCAGGCAAATGGATGACACTAGAAGAAACCATCGTGAGTGAGGTAACGCAGTCACAAAAAGAGAAACATGGCATGTACTCTCTCATATATGGAATTTAGACATAGATCTGCGGAGTGCCAACCTACAATCCCATGGCCAGAGAGTCTGGGAAACAGAACCGTCATTCAGTGGCTGATGGAAGAAGAGGCAGACTCCCAAGCCTAAGCATTGAGCTGAACTCAAGAAAGCCAATAACAGAGAGGGAGGACTGATGACCAAAGGGATCAAGGCTGGGCTGGTTTAACCCCCAGAAACAGCTGACCTGACAAGGTTTAATTCTTGAATCTATTGAGCCTTGGGCAGTAGATCAGTATTTATCCCGAGTATACAAATGGACTTTGGACTCCCATCCAACAATGTGAGATGCACTCTCATCCTGAATTCTTGGGGGAGGGTCTAGGCCCTGCCCTGGATGAAATGACAGACTTTGGACACCCCCAAGGAGGGCCTCACCCTCCCTGGGGAAATGAGGTCATATTGGGGGGGTTGGGGAGAGGGCATGGGAGGAGGGGCGAAAAACGAAGTGAGACCTGGAACTAACTTGTGAAGCAACCTTGTTTCTAATTTAAATTTAAATTTAAAAATAAATAATAAAAAAAGAAAACAAAAAAGTAAGTTCAAAATCCATAAATGATCCATTTTAAAGAGTAAATTATAGTTTTATTTTATTGACTTATATAAATTTCAGATTTCTTGTAAGATATGAATTATGAGAATACATAAATAATTTTAAAGATCAAATATCATTAAAATAACTGGGAATCAATAAATGAGCTAAGAGGCCCAATATATAACTTTCAAAGAACGAAACTCATATGACTAATTAATTTGTGTTATCTTTATAGGATCTGAATTGTGTAAAATTTCAAAACACGGCATTGTAGAGCATATTAACTTACGGGTAAAAGCAGACACAAGTCAACCCAAAGTTACAAATCGAAATAAAAAATAAATCAAAAGTTTTGGAACTGGTCTTATGGAACAAGATTGCTCATTCATCTGTGAACCTGGAGATCAGCCTGAGTGTATCTGGCCAGCCCTAATTGTTTTATCAGAACTTATTGTGTCTGACATGATTTTGTAATAAAGGAGATCGGGTCCTTCTCTTCTACCATGATGTTGAGGAGAAAAATAATGAAAGAAAGCCCAGAGAAAACAAAGAAAATCAAATGCTACTGACCACTACAACTGTATGTATGGTTGCAAATTAAATTGTAACTATAACGTGTAGAAACATAGGCAGACTTATCCATAGAGAGATGTTTTTAATGGATATCGTCATCTGATGTCAAAATTCATTAGTTTCAAAATTAGAGCCGCCTGGCAACTTCACAGACATGAAGATAAACAAGAGAATGGGATGTTGTACTCCTCCATAGTGGCGATATTGAACGCATCTTCATGGTAGTCCTGGAATACAGTTACACAAGAGCAACATCAAATATCAGCCACAATCCCAAAATGGCAACTGTACCCATAAAAAAATGCACACCAGTACAAACATACTTGGGAACTCAACTATCTAAAACTGATATTAGATTACATAGACAACTATATTTATAGATAAACTAAGATCTGTAAAAACAGTCATCTGTACATTCACACTATTTATTTGCCTGATCCTATACTGGGGACCAGTAGTAGTAGTCTCTGTATTTTCATTACCTGACTTCACAAGCGTTTGCAGTGAGTATCTGTTGGTATTTGTCATACTAAGCAAAACACTAAATTAGAAATTCAGGAGAATCAGGCATTTCATAATAAGATGTAGGGGTGATATTTTCTAACATTGAAAAATAGTTAAAACCAAAAGTGAGATGTTTGGAAAGCTGAGGTACTCTGTAACACCTTGCATGTTTACTGAGAGCCCCAAGAACCCTCGAGGGAAATATGTTTGAGATGCTAGAGGTTAAAGCTTGATCAATAATTCTGTGATCTTACATACATCATTTAACTTTTAAATGTGTTTTGTGTGAGCCTGTATCTTTCTATAAATAGCTAAGACCCTATTTCCTTTTCTAATCCACAATAACACTTTATAGTGTTCCTATGTGGTTAATTTAGCTTGATTTAGCTCAAGGCTAAACTGCATCATTTCCTTAGTTGTTGTCCAAATCCTTTCTTTAGAAACTGAAACTCTTTTTCAATGACTTACCGTAAAATTGTAGTGTGGTAATAATGGGAATTATTTGTTTTTACACTCAATAAAAATGTTAGCATCTTGAGGTCCATAACGTTAATTCATGAAGAGATTCATCACCTGAAGATTTGTTATAGGAGAAAACTGTTGCATATTCTTCATAGTCTATACAAGTGGCTCTCACCCTTCTTAATGCTGTGACCTTTACTCCTCATGTTGTGGAGACTCCCAATCATAAAACTATTTTATTGCTACTTCATTACTATAATTTTGCTACTGGTAGGAACCATGATATAAAAATATAACGTGCAGAATATCTGATATGCGACCCCTGTAAAAGAGTCCTTTGAACAACCCCCCAAATGGATGACAACCCAGACGTTGGCAGCTACTGGTCTGCATCAAACTTCCCCTCGAGAACTTTTAATACTATATTTTAAGCAAAGGAAATTTTATTTTGAGTTAGACTTCTCTAGATTAAAAGCAAAATTTCTATTTGAGCACTTTTAAGAAGAGAAGCTGTGAACAATTTCTATCATGGAAATATGACAGAAATTACAGGTTTTGAAACTGTGCACACATGCATGGCCAGACACACACACACACATACACACACACACCACATGCACACTGGAGTGTCATATATTTATCCATAAGAAACAGGTAACAGCTGTTTAAACAGCAACTTCAGACGAAGTTTCAGTGTTATCCTTTACCAAACTGGTTAACATAAACACTATTTCAGCTATGGAAGCTGTAAATGGAAGTCAGGCTTCCTTAGAATTCAGTAGGTCTCTTTGGACACTATATCCACTGACATTCAAAATAATACAGGTCCTCCACTAATAAGTGACTGTTCAACAGCTATTAAGGCAGACCTAAAGCAACTGTACAGAATCAGTGATTGGATCATTTTTCTCATTATCAGTAATTATTTTCCCCTATATTTGAAGCAAATTTCTCAAGTTTTATGAGTTATTTTTCTCAGATTTGACAAAGACATACGCTGCAAAACTTTTGAGTAACCCTCCTCAACTTGATATTTAAAGAACTGGCATTGCATAAAAATACTGCAAACACCCACAGCTAAACACTGAACTGGAACCCTGGAGCCCAGTGACAGAGAGAGGAGTGATGAGCAAATTGGCCAAGAATGGGCTGTCAAAACCAGCAGAAACAGCTGACCTGAACAAGGGGGAGCTCTTGGACCCCAGACCAACAGCTGGGAGGCCAGCATGGGACTGATCCGGGCCCCCGATTCTGAGAGTCAGTGAGGAGGCCTTGGCAACCTATGGGGCCCTGGGCAGTAGATCAGTGTTTGTCCCTGGGATACAAACGTACTTAGTGTGTTCATAACACACAAGAAGGATGCTATCTCAGCCTGGACTCTTGAGGGAGGGCTTGGATGCTGCCATGAACGAAATGACAGACTCTGGGTATTCCCTATGTGGAAGGGAGTGGGGATGGGGAGGGAGGCTGGGGAGGATGGTGGGGAATGAGGGAGGAGAAGAGAGAGACGGAGCTGGGATTGACCTGTGGAGCAAGCTCTTTTCTAAAAAAATGTAATAAAAAATAATGAAAAGTACTGCAAACAGATGTAAAACATGAACATCATTTTGGGATTGTTACTGTCTGGAGGCAAACTTTTTGTGTGTGTGTGTAGCTCGTGAACTCTAGAAAACTTCCACAAACCCTGAATCATGGCTTCAGATTCTTCCCTTGTCTTGTGAAATTGAGTCCTGTTACTACATCACTAATGGTCTCGATTCTCTTAGCCATCATTCTGTGCCCATTCTCCAAAATTGCTCCGCTTCTCTTGGATTCTGTACTTTTTTTCATTCTCCATGTTTCATCTGGTTTAAAGCGCCATTACAGAATTACTATAACCTAAAGCAGCAAAGTTCGGTGATAAGTTACTTAGCCATTAAACTTCTGGCTTACGAAGTGAAATGTATTTGATGAATGACTATTTTATGTGCCCTTGTATTTGGAGAATCTGTACCAAAACAATTTAAAACAAAATGAGAAACAATTGCAGTAATTGAAAAAAATGAGGGTGAATTTTATGCTGTATTCATAATGCAAAACAAAATGTATAGAAAACCCGATCAATTAGTTCTGCGTATGCACAATCTGGCAGTGTTGTTGTCAGTAGAGAAATCTAAATATATACATACCAAGGAGATCCTGTGAAGAGTTAGAAAATAATACTTATTGGGAGCAGACAGCCTCATAGCTACCCTGTCATTTTGAATGGTATCCTGTTTTGGTATTATTTTCTAATTCACTGAGAACCATTCTGTTATTGATGTCTTCATGAATGACATTCACATGTTCCAGTAACCATGATAGAAATTGCTTAGGAATACAATGCTATGCTCTGCAGAGTAATATGACAAATGAACACTAGCTTCTTGTTTTTCAGGTTTGCTGCTTCCTAAATTATATAGGTTGGTTCAATCACTCCACAAGTTTGAGATAGCTTATGCTGCTTTAAATTGCACTTGAACTTTCAGAATCCCTCCGTGTACCTCTGCTTCTGTCCATATCCCTGCAGAAGACATTATTCATTGTCTCTAGGCTTAAACTGAATGCATAGATTTAGAAAAATTGCCTTTAATAAGGAATATTCAAAGAAACATATGGTAGAAAACAAGAGTTTTTCAGGTTTCTTTGGTTTTGGTCAGATAATGAGCACCTATGATGTTAGTTAATCCAAGTGCTTCCCAGGTTACCAAATAATTATGTATGTCTAAGCTACTATCCCAATGGATAGTTTATCTAATTGTTCTCCATATTTCAGTATTTAATGACTAAAATAGGTGTTTGAGTTATTTTTTACTACTACCTGAAATAGTTGATAATTATGCTGTAGAATAGAAAATAGAGTGATAAAAATTACAGGATTCAGTTCTGCGCACACACACAAACTCTACATACAAACACAGACACATTCCAGTTTCATCCATTTACCAAAGAGGAACATGTATAAACTGCTTAATCAGCAAACTTTACATGAGGATTCATTGTCATTATACATAAAATTAAAATGTAATTTATATTAATAATACAACTTGTGCAGTGTGCAATTATGAAATCAAAACAATATATTTAGAATAGAAGCCAATTTTGCATTAGATAGTGTTTGTTATTGTCACTGTCGTTTTTATTGTTCATGACATTTACTTATTTTAAAGGTTGTCTGTTAAACTTTGCATTTTTGTTGGTCAAGCACCGTCCATCCAAACAAATTCAGAGTATATTCCTTGTTAAACATAAATTATAAAACCTTAAGTATGAGGAGACATAAATTACTGGTTCTATATCAAGCATAAAGTACTGAACTGAAATTAATTGCACATTTTCTGACAATTATTTCCAGTTTATTGCTGTACTACATTCTAGCTAGTATGTCAGCAATCTTAACAATCTTTACAAAGATTGCATTGTTCTCCACCATTGAAAGTGCTGCACAAACCATAGTACCTTAAAGTTTGTGATCTCTCTCTCTCTCTCTCTCTCTCTCTCTCTCTCTCTCTGTCTCTTCCTCTCCCTCCCTCTCCCTCTCTCTCTCTCTCTCTCTCTCTCTCTCTCTCTCTCACACACACACACACACACATACACACAGAGTCTGTTTACTATGAGAAACTACATTTTACCCCTTCAAATTCAGAACTGACTCAAGGACAATGATAAGTCCTTCATAGAGGAAGCCATTCAAACCACAATTGTGGAAGCCATATCATTTCGGGCTTTCAACAGAATTGCATCAAACCCATCAACTACAAAAAAAGCAAGTTTGGGAAGTGTGTGTTCATTGAGCATTAGAATGAAGGTTTCTATAGCTCCAGATGACTCTGTGTCCTGAGTCCCTGATATTTGAATGATGGTTCCAGAATTTTGTGGTGCTCCGTTATGTTTCATCCCTAACATTTGGTGAGATTGTTCAAAGCTCCTTTTTAACAAACCTTTGACAATCTAAGATATTTTGAATACATTAGCATTACAAAATTTCATATGGGCAGAAGTATGATTAAATTAATTAATTAATTACTTAACCTATTAATATTTGTACATTTTCCTGAATTTTAAATATTGGTTCTTATTGAAGGTAATTTTTGTATTTTTATAGTGATATAATACCCTAAAGTTACAAAGTTCCTTTCTAGTACCCTCAAATGCATAATCTTCACCTGAGAAGGCAACCAAAATGGATGAAAATCAGTTATTTATGAAGAAAATCATGTCATTCAAATATATTTGAAGGTAAAATGGTGAATGGAAAATATTTCTTTGTTTTCTTCTTGAGTTAGACATTGTTGGAGTTCCAAACTGAATTTTAAATTGTAATGATTTTAATGTTCCGTTTTAAGATAAGCTAAGTTTCATTATACTATTTGACTGCATGTGACTAGGTTCAATTATTACATAAAGATAGAGGCACACAACACACTGACATTTAAAGTTTACTAAATGTGAAATCTGTGATATCACTGCACTAAAGGACAATGAAAGCATTTAGTGTTTCAGGCAAAGGACACATTGGGGGGAGTTGGTCATATACAATATCCTTAGCACTCATTGACTTACAGTTTTCAGTGGTCATCATGGGCAGTGTATTTAAATATATGTTTAATTGTTTAAATAATGATATTTTAAATATGATAAAATAGATTATTTTTCTATTTTTAAAAGTAACAATTATTATTATTATTATTATTATTATTTTAACATCCCAACCACAGTTTCTCCTTTCTTCCTTTCTCCAGGTTCCTCTCCCCCAGTTCTCTTCTGACCCCACTCCAACTCACTCACCCTCCAGTTCTCTATAGAAATGGGTAGTCCTCCCATGGATATCAACCTAACATGGCATGTCAAGTTGCAGTAAGTCTAGGGACCTCCCCTCATATTAAGGCTGGGCAAGGCATCCCAGCATGAGGATAGGGCCCCAAAAGTCTGCAAAAATATCAGGATTAGGGTCAAATTTTTAATTTGACTATTTTACTACTTTTAATGGAATTTTTTTTCCAATTTTTGATAGGGAAAGATATAAGCTTTTGATACACATTTAGACCAAAAATATATACACGTAGAAATATTTTACTATTAACTATAATCATCTTGTAATTTAATAATTAGTGTATAGCATAAAATGAACAATAGAGACATCAAAATATAGAATAATTATATAGAGTAAGTTCCCTTCTTTCTTTTTGTAATATATTTCCCAGTGAAATGTACAAATGTACAAATAAACTTTAATGAGTGCTTTGGTCAAAGAGATAGCTCATGCATTTAACTTCTTTTTTGAAATATAATTATATTAACTATTCACAATGCCTAAATGTAGATAACTGAGTCCCCTCCTGTAAATGGGAGATAAATTCTGAAGGCTAGGAATAAAAATTTAGATACAGGAATATCTCTGCTATTTCTAGTTCTCCTAGTATTGCAGATGGATATTTATGGGAAAGGACTGTGTTTCTCACTCTCAGTAATCTTATGAATTAATTGGAAGCATAATGCAAAACTCTAACAAGATTTCCCTGCAAGAAGCTCATCATACTAAATTACTTTCCATAGCATGAAGACACAATTTCAATTCAACACAACAAAACTGATAATCCCTTATAGACATTTTGACTTTCCTCAATAATCAATGCTCATTTTACAAAGACTGAAAGGGTATTTTACTGAGATTTGCATATAATTGAAAAATCAGGAAATGCATCAATAATAAGCTATCTTAGAATTTCCATGTAAGTATCAGATTCAAAGTTTAAATTCAGTACATACCATAGATTTTGAATAAAACTGCACAATGTCTCTCTTACCAGGGTTCTGTTGCACTTCTAAAATGAATTTTATAAAATTCCTGCTGTTGTTTGATGCTTCTTGCTTGCAGAGCAGGTAATATTGCCTTCATTTAGCATCTTCTTTCCTGTTCACATTCTTTGAACAGGAGAGCGTTATTGGGGCATGATTAATGTTTATGTCTAGGAATGAGCTCAGACTCTGTTAGTGGATGAAAAGTTGAGCTTTTTTAAAAAAAATTATTCTTCTCTCATTCATTTTCTCCTGACCATAGTATCCATCCCTTCTCCTCCCAGTTCCACCCCCGCACTCTCCTCTCTCACAGATCCACTTCCCCGTGCTTACTTTCAGAAAGAGATTGTTCAGCCATTAAAAGCTAAGCTACAACCAAACACACAAGTTAAGCTTTTAAAACAACTTCCTTTCCAATTATACCTGATTGCCCCTATAGTTGTAACCCTTCTCTAACATTCTCTTTAGTCCTTAATTTCTAATGTTTCCTCAATCATGTTAATGTTGACAAATGTTAACGTAATATAAGAATTTTAGTATTGAGAAAATAAATTAGTTCTAAGATTATATGTTCAAAACTTTTAAAAGGGTAACACTTTATTTTAATTGTATCATATTCTATAAATTTAATATATATGCCACACAAATATGATATTGGCAAGTCATTGGATATAGAAGCATAAGACATAGACTAATAAATATAATGCATATGAATATATATTTCAAAATAAGGGCTCTGAAAAGAAGGTATGGACAAATGATTAATTTTTAGCAAATATCTACAAAAGCTGCAAAAATACCAAAGAACCAATGTATTTGATTTCACATAAACACATATATACAAATGAATGGTTTTATATATACATATATGTATGTATCCTAAGGGTTATGTTTTAGTTTTGTCCTAATCAGAAATTGATAAATTATAATTTAACTTATTATAAGGTAAAAAAATGAATGCTATGTTTTATAATTAATCAGGTAATTTACTAACACAACTTCACCTTTGTGCTAAGAAGCAAACTCAGGCCCATCTCTCTAGTCCCTGATATACTAATTTAAAAGTGCCACAGCATGATCTCAGAAGTATAATTTTCAGATCATATGTTAAGGAATTCCAAAATGATGCCTAGTGTCAGGTACGAGAGTTACTAAATGTAATCCAAGCACTTAGTCATGAAAATCATGGGTGTGAAGACAACCTGGGTTGCAGGAGAATTTTTCTGAAGTTAAAATAAGAACACAGAGAACAAAACACACAAAAATATGATCTTTAGCAAAAAAGGATCACAGCTGTGTGTACTCTAGCACCCAAATTCAGACATTATTACAGGGATACGGTAGTAAAAACTGCATGATATTTGTGTAAAAGTGAACACATGAAGCCATGGGAAAGTTAGGGAGGCAGAAGAAATTCCTTGTAATCTTGTTTAATAGCTTCTACAGAAAGCTGACAAAAGTACGATAGAAAAAATCATGATCATTTCAATAAAGATAGTTGGGAGAATTATGCACTCATATGACAGAGAACTGAAATGGGGGATGATATCATATTGTATATCAAGTCAAATCAGATTAGACGAAGAAGAGAGAGTAGACTAGAATTAACTCAAGTCTTTAAACTCTCAAAACACACCCCGGGTTACACACTCCCTTCAGAAAATCCACATTTCCTAACCCTCCCAGTCAACAACCACCAACTGGGGATACATATTCAACTATAGATGTCTCTGGGAGAAATTATAATTCAAGCCAACATAGGACTAATGAGAACACTGAACATAGAGTTTGCAAAACTGTTGCACTGCCAACAATCATTCATGTGGGTGCCAAGATATTCATAAACCTAAGATTACCTTTTTAATGAACTCCAAGAAAAGAAGTGAACAATCTGATCATAAAGAGCCAGAGATCTTAATAGACATATCATCAAAAAGTTCATTCGCTGAGGCCACATAATTTTAAACACAATAAAGCAGATGCAGATACTTCCATAGACTGTATGATAAGAAAACACAAGCTGGAACAAGGAAATATGAACTGATTTGAACAAACAAAATGCAACATACTTACAGTGGTGAATAAAGGAAATGTGTAGGCGCAAAATATTATGGGTACAAAATGTTATAGACACTTTGATGTTTGGTAGTTTCAAATGTAAGCACATGTTTATACATGCATATGCTTATGGAGGCATGTGTTTACCTGCACAAATACATCTTCACAGAAAGGTTTGCATAGGGACATGCCTGCTGTTATTAAGAACTATCAAATCTCACAAACAGTCAAGACATTGATGAGCAGTTATTAGATAATCCAATGCTCGCTGAGAAATATTTTTCAGTGTGAAAAGAAATGTAATATAAACACACATTAAAAAGACATGAAAGAAACTTCAAAGTCTTTAACTAAGTGCAAGCCTTTATCTGCCTGCATAGGCTGTAAGAAACATGATTCTAACCATATGTCACTTCTGAAAATCCCAAAACAATGAGATGATACTGATGGTTGCCAGGGGAAGGAGTGGAAGGAAGGATGGATGGTTGGAACAGTGTTGGTACAACCACCTCTGTGCTCCCAGAAACTGACAGTACAGGTTTGTCAAGATACACAGAATATACATAATACAGACACTCTGAATGGAAACTACAAATCCTGGTAGCAATGATTTGTTAGTGAGGATTCATGAATTGTAACAAAGTAACCACTCTGAAGGGAGATGCTAGAAATATGGGAATCAATGCATGTTCATCTGAATGGAAGGCTCCAAGAAAGATCTGTACTTTTCGCTCAGTTTTGCTGTCAACATAAAGCTCACAGAATTAATCCATTGGAATGAACTTAGAAAGGCAATTTGGAAGGAACTGACAATGCAAAGGTTTAGTGAATTGCCTTCTGGATAAAGTGTAAGGGTGCAGGTTACTATCATTGTAAAATACATAACTAAAGCAATGTGCCAAATGCATGATGGAGAAAAGCAACAATAGTACCACATGAGGACAAATACATTATTCCTGAGCAGATCAAATTAAAGGCCTTATAAGTTAGAGAAAAAGGTCATGCAATGTGATATTAATAGATTGCAAGCTTTGGACCAATACAGAAATGTGGTGGTGGTGTGGTTTGATTATGGGATTTCTCTCATAGTCTTATGTGCTTGATCACTGGGTTCTCAGCTGATAGCACAAGTTTGAAGGCTGCATAACTTTCAAGAGTAGAAGTATCATTGGAAATGGGCAACTTGGACAATCTTGAAGTTCCATAGCCCAGCCCGACCCTTTTCCTTTCTTTGCTTTCTCAGTACAGACTCAGTGAGATCAGCTTCTTCACAATTCTGCTCCTCATGAAGAACTGTGCCTTAGGCCATGAGGAAAAAATAAACACTTCTCCAGTTGTTTTTATGAAATGTTTTCTTTCACAATAAGAAAGATAATGGATACAGGTGGTTTCTTCCCGGGGAATGGGATGCAGAGTGCTGCTGGGAGACAAATCAAAGGACTTTACCTGTGTTTAAAAGGCTTTGAGGTCTATAAGTAAAACGCAATGCTTGACTGAACTGTGAGTGTGGAAACATCAGAAATGTACAACAGAGGCATTATAGAGCAGGATTTAGAATGAAGAAAACACAGTAAGAATGACTTACCAGCTTCAGAAGAGGCTTTAGTTTAGGGTTGCAGCATCAAGATTTGGGAAGCAGTAGTCTCTGGTGGGATATCAAGTGTTCTTTTGTGGTACTTTTGGTTTGACGATGCCTGTTGGCAATCAACAGGCTATCTTAAACATTTTCATTTATGATTTTGGGAATAAATGAAGTTGAGTACTGGACAAAAATTTGGATTAACTGACTTACAGATCTACCAGAACAGATGTAATAACAGAAATGATGCAGATGGAAAAGCAAAGACACTAAAACCAACTCACCAGGCTGCTGCCTTTAACCACATGGAGAGCTCTGATGACATTTTTGCATCTCTAAAAGAAGAGGTGGTACTAATTCTTCTATTAAAATATGCAATTGTAACTTCTAAAAAATGTTTACAATCTCTCTGTTCCACAAACATATTCATTTCTCTTAATTTTTTCATGGGCATTTAAAAATAATCCAATAGTTTGATGATATCCATGTATTTCTTGTAATTAGAAGATTTAAATATCATAAAATAAAAATTTAAAACAGAAGTTACGGATAGCAGGTGGTTAAATTATTTGAATTCAATTTGGATTAAAATAAGACAACACTAACTTACCAAGAATTTTCATCAGGGATTACAACTGGCTCAATCTTGTGGTCACTTCAAACTCAGATGGTCCTGTAAACTCCAGGTTTTCTATCTCTTCTTTCTACAGCGTTGGTCCTTTATCCTGTCACTTTCCTCACATCTTTCCCTTCAAGCCTTCCTTACTCACTAATTTTCTCCCTTCTTTCTCTGTGTTTTCTTCCTTAAACCATCTTAGATATCTATTCAATTCAAACTCTATTTTCTAAACGTTGTTTTGATTTTCTTGGCCATTGTACAAACTCAGCTTCACATCCTTAAATCTAGAGACAGCATCAGGCCTTCTTGGAGTTCACACTTTTTTTTAAACATAGTCCTTACTGAATATTGATATTTTTGTTTGTTTCCCTGTCTTCATTTCCTGGATTCTTACTTGCATATTCTTTGAAATTTTCTAGTGATTTTACTTTTAAAACTCCCTACCTACCATTTTATAATAGGCATCTTCCACATCACTCAACGAATCCTATGTATTTTTCTTAATCCTTGTTTAAAATACCATGACTAAATGTTCCTTTCACCTTGTGTTTTTCCTTCTCTTTAAAAATTACTTGATTATTTTGCTGCACACTTTTTTTTTTAATCTCATGGGTTCATTTTTTAGACTGCTGAAGCGGGCTCACTTCCGTCAGTTTGAGCCCTGATCCAAGCCCTACTTTGCCTTCTTCTCTTTCTTTAACTTCTTGTCATCCTTTTTTGATTCGGAGGAATCACCTGCAGAGTCTTTCTTCTTGTCTTTCTTGTCCTTCTTACCATCCTCCTTTGAGTCTCCATCTGCCTTCTTCTCCTTTTTAGTTTCCTTCTTCTTGACTTCTTTCTTGCCCGCTTTCTTTAAGTCTCCCTTCTCACTTTCAGAATTCACGGGTGTATCTTTGCTCTTTGAGGGCTTTTTAGTAAGTTTGGTTCCTTTCTTATCACCGGCCTTGGTAGCTTCTGAATCCCCTAGTGTGTCTTTCAGTTCCTTTGATTCCTTCTTAGTTCCCTTGGCTTCCTTCTTCCCCCCAGCCTTTTCACTTTCGGATTCTGAGGCTGACACCTTGTCCTTTGATTCCTTCTTAGTTCCCTTGGCTTCCTTCTTCCCACCAGGCTTTTCACTTTCGGATCCCGAGGCTGACACCTTGTCCTTTGATTCCTTCTTAGTTCCCTTGGCTTCCTTCTTCCCACCAGGCTTTTCACTTTCGGATCCCGAGGCTGGACCTTTCTCCTTCTCCTTTGACCCCTTTTTAGGTTTCTTGGGTTCTTTCTTGCCACCAACCTTTTCAGCTTCAGATTCTGAGGTTGACCCTTTCTCCTTTGACCCCTTTTTAGCCTTCTTGGGTTCTTTCTTCCCACCAACCTTTTCAGCTTCAGATTCTGAGGTTGACCCTTTCTCCTTTGACCCCTTTTTAGCCTTCTTGGGTTCTTTCTTCTCGGCAGCCTTTTCCGCTTCGGATTCTGAGGCTAAACCTTTCTCCTTCTCCTTTGACCCCTTTTTAGCTTTCTTGGGTTCTTTCTTCTCGGCAGCCTTTTCTGCATCGGAGTCTGAGGCTGACCCTTTCTCCTTTGACCCCTTTTTAGCTTTCTTGGGCTCTTTCTTCTCGGCAGCCTTTTCAGTTTCGGATTCTGAGGCTAACCCTTTATCTTTTGGTTCTTTTTTCCCTTTTTTGATTTCTTTCTTTGCACCTGCCTTTTCAACCTCAGATTCTGAGGCTGACCCCTTGACTTTCTGGAAATCCTTTGAACTTTTCTTGGCAACTGGTTTGGGACTTTCTTCCTTAACTGTCTTTAATGCTGTCTTCTCCTTCACTTCAGATTCAGCTTTTTTCACTTTCTCTTTCTTTGGCTTTTCTGAAGACACACTCTTGGATGGGCCTGCTTCTTTAGACTCTCCTGTCGCAGCAAGATGTGGTTTCGGAGGAAGGCCCTTCCTGGCAGCTAAATAAACGGATGGTCTCTCAGGAATTCTCATCAGGGAACGGTGCATCCATAACGGTGGTCTGTGAATTCCTAGTTTTTGTTCGTCAATTACCTCAATATCGGCAAGAATAATAAGGAAAAATGTTATATAGCCCTTAATAATAAGATACCATGTACATTATAAATTCAACTAGAAATATTTTTTAATATATCTTTTGAATATTTTCAAAAATGTTTTGAAAATCATTGGGTTAATTGTGGATTTTAAAATTCATTATGATTTAAAGCAATGGACAATTATGTCCATACTTGTGGTTTATTTTCAATTTAGAGAAAGCATACTTTTTCTTTATGATGTTAATATTAAAATTTGTTTGAGACCTCCATTGGAGCATAGCACATTAGAACCTGTCTTCATTATTAGGAGAGGCTAATAATGTCCTATTTTAAGAATTTATATCTGGTGGACATTTTCTTGCTATTCATACTAATTGTGAATTAATGTATCTTGACTTTTTTGTGATGTAAACAATATATTTCGGGTAGGAGTTCTGAGTGAAGTGTTATCATAAAATAATCTATGATCAATATTAAAATTGAGGTAGCAATTATACAAAATGTATCAATCATGACAAGATTCAAGTTATCACTCACCCACACAGCACATTTAACAATATATGATGTTACAAGATTATTGTTAAGTCATTAATTACTAATATATAAATGATATTTTCATACACTTACAGGAGCTGTATTGTTGCGTAATTGGGAAGGTAGTGATCTCCGTTTCTTTCCCGGCCTTGGTGGTTTGGGAAATGCCAGGGCAAAGTACTGCTGATTCCATGATTTTTTGCTTAATTCACTGACTAAAATAAAAAAAGATAACATATGCTTTGCTATAAATAGAATTTTGTCTGAACTGAAAAGGCCATGAGTGTGATTTATACCATACAAATATAAAAATAAATGAGGCAAATTACAACTTTATTTATCTAATAGTTTGAAATTTTCAGTGATCAAATTTTATAAATAAATAGCTAATTTGATTAATAGTTATATAGAGCAGTTATAATGAAATCAGTGTGTTTATAAAGGAGAAAAAAGAGTATCATTGCTCTCATTTCAGCATTGCTTTCTCTTCTAGTTTAGATTTCTGCCATGTGTTATTTTGATTTGAATATAATCTTTCCCAGAATGAAAAGATGTGGTAAATACTTCTATAGCCACTAAAGCATCTAGCACACTGCATGACATAACAAATATGCAGAAAATACGTGCTTGACTTTGCATACTAAGACTAAAATTGCTATGAGCTAATATTCAGGTTTCCAGTTACAAGAGGACTTGTAATATATTTAGGAGATATGCTGTTATTGGAGATTGGCTTAACAAAGAAAAATGGCAAACAACTGCAAAATGGAACTCAGACAGTGATGAAATAGCAGCAGAAGTGATGATTAAAGGGTATTTTAGTTAGAACTGAGGTAAATGAGAAATACCATCACTGTAGTAGTGCATATCAAATATCAAAAATTTTAGAGAGAAGACTTCCTACTTTCCAAAGAACAACATTAGGATTGGTATTTAAATGTGCACAATGAAAGTAATATTGAAGTTTAATTGATAAGAGAAAATAAGCTAGTAGAAAAAACTATTTTATATTAAATAGATTTTCTTTGTCTGGTATTGGTATGTGCTAAATATAAACAAAGTGGAATACAGTAAAAGGATCTGGGTTAAAAGTATTTATTCAGTTTCTTCATTGCTTTTCAAATTCAAGATCCCTGTGTTATACTTTTTTCTAAAATGAAAGTATTCCAGAAAATTTAAAAACATACTTATACAAAATATTTCTATATGAAATGCTGTCAGGGTACCCGGGAGAAAGGTTTTTTGGCAAATAAACATGGTATATTAATTATAGCCCACAGCATCTTTTATGAATTTAAAATGAAAACAATAAAACCATGTCTAAAATTAATCAGGCAAAGCTTGTTGGAATAATCAACAATTGTCTGATTCCACATAAGTCCCACTCCATTAAGATAGATCCCACAACCCAACATTGCTTGGTGACCAAGAACCAGAGAATAGATTGCCCAAAGACATAGAGTAAAACCAAATACTACTGTCCAAAACACCATAAGATCGAATTAAAAAGTCGGCTACAGAACTACATAGAGAATTACCAATAGAGTAGTCTAAAATGGCTGAGAGGCACTTGAGAAAGTGATCAACATCCTTAGCCATCTGGGAAATGCAAATCAAAACAACTCAGAGATACTATCTTACTCCAATCAGAATGGCTAAAATCAAAAACACCAACGACAATTTATGCTGGAGAGGTTGTGGTGAAAGGGGAACAATCCTCCACTGCTGGTGGGAATGCCAACTCGTACAGCCACTTTGGAAATCAGTATGGAGATTCCTCAGAAAAAATGGGGATAAGCCTACTACAAGACCCAGAAACTCCACTCTTAGGGATATATCCAAAAGATTCACATTCATACAACAAGGACATCTGTTCCACTATGTTCATAGCAGCATTATTTGTAATATCCAGAACTTGAAAGCAACCTACATGCCCCTCAATTGAAGAGTGGATAGAGAAAATGTGGTACATTTACACAATGGAGTACTATTCAGCAGAAAAAAAAATGGAATCCTGAAATGTGCAATCAAATGGATGACACGGGAAGAAACCATCCTGAGTGAAGTAACCCAGTCACCAAAAGAGACACATGGCATGTACATGCTCATATATGGATTTTAGACATAGATTTGGGGAGTGCCAGCCTAAAATCCCATGGCCAGAGAGCCTGGGTAGCAGAACTTTCATTCAATGGCTGATGGAAGCAGAGGCAGACTCCTACAGCTAAACACTGAGCTGAACTCAAGGAATCCAATGACAGAGAGGGAGGACTGATGAGCAAAGGAGTTAAGACTGGGCTGGTTTAACCCCCAGAAACAGCTGACCTGACAACGGTTAGCTCTTGAATCCCAGACTGATGGCTGAGAGGCCAGCATGGGACTGATCAAGACCCCTTGAATGTGGGTGTCAGTGAGGAGGCCTAGGTAATCTATTAGGCCTTGGGTAGTAAATCAGTATTTATCTCGGCCATACAAATGGACTTTGGGTGCCCATCCAACAATGAGAGATGCACTCTCACCTTGGACTCTTGGGGGAGGATCTAGGCCCTGCCTTGGATGAAATGACAGACTATGGACACTTCCCATGGAGGGCCTCACCCTCCCTGAGGAAATGAGGGGGTATCTGAGGGGATAGTGGGAGGGCATGGGAGGAGGAGAGGTAAAGGGAGAGGGACCTGGAATTGACATGTGAAGCAAACTTGTTTCTAATTTAAATTTAAAAATATATTTTTTAAAAATTAATAAATAAAAAATAGAAAAAAGTGAGGGTACAATGACTCCTAATGATTTTCTGCTATACTCAGATAAGGCCTTCTTCAGCTATTATCAGAGTAGCTTCCTGCTACAGACAAAGAGAACAAATGCAAAGATTCACAGGCAGACTTTATGCCGAGAGAGGGAGATCTTAGAGCACACAGCTCTAAATGGGATGTCTGCACCAAATTTCACTCCAAAGGGCTCAGGAAACCCATGGAAGAGGAGGTGGGAAAAGTGTAAGAGTCAGAAGGCCACCAAGAGATCAAGTCGATGTCAATCAACTTCACACCTTACCTCATATGAGCTAACACAGACTGAAGCAACAGTCTCAGGGCCTGCACAGGTCTGCACCAGGTCCTTGGATACATATTATAACATTCAGTTTATAGTTTTGGTGGGACTTCTGAGTGTGTGGGTTAGTGGGTGTCTGGGACTCTTGGGGCTATTTTCCTTCTGTTGGTTTGACTTATCCAACTTGGATGTTATTGGTTTTGTTTTGTTACTATACTTTATTTTGTTAATATTATATTTGTCTCTTAGAAACCTGTTATTTTCTAATGAGGGACAGAAAAGGAGTAGATGCTGATGAGAGAAGTGGTGGGGAGGAACTAGGAGGAGTTGAGGGAAGGAAATCTGTAATCGGGAAAAGAGAATTAATCGGTTTTCAATAAGAAGGAAAACAATAAAAATAATCATTTATTGAAAAAGTAAATACTGAACTCCATCTTACCTGGAATATAATTATTGTATGCTCCATATGTTACCTTTAGGCTATTAAAATAAGAGAAAATTTTAAGTTGTTTTATTCAAATATCATGCATCTAATGATCATTCTTGTACAAAAATCACCACCAACTACACAATTATTGAATTGTCATTATTATTATAAGCCAATTTCATCTACAGGGCTGTAGATATGAACGAACACTATTTTAACTTTAGCAAAACTAAGGTAGGATAGAGCAGAATATGCATGTGTATGTATGTAATATATATATATATATACATTTATACATACACACATATGTACACTTACAAGTCTACCTTCTGGTCACATCTGAAATTTAGAGATTTGTCTTAATTAAATCATAAACACTAATAAAGTTATTTTTTCTAAATTATAACACAAATTCTCTTGGAATTGACTTTTAACTAAGATATCACTTCTAACTCATATTCAACTTAAGCAAATACTCAATATATTCTCAAAATTTTACCACATCTAGGTCATTAAATGACTTATGTCTGGATATGCATGTGTATGTTTCAGGCTTGTGAGTGTGCATCTTAAGTATTGACATAGAATTTCATTGTGTAAATAATCTAGCAAAACATAAAGATTCTGTTGTAAACTCCTTTCCATTAATAACTTCTAAATTGCTTTTTTTATCATTGAAAAACATTTGTCAGCAGGAACATTTTATTAGAAAAGTTTTATTTGTTTTAAACAAAAAACCCCACCAATAATATGAATTAGTACTATTATCCACTATTGTTCTACTATGTAACAAATTGATATCAGTTATGGATCTGGGCAATGATTACATATCCAACAAAAGTTAGGTTCTCAGTTTTCAACTTATTGGTTGCATACGTATGTATAGTCGTGTACACATGTATGTATGCTTGTATTGTTTGCAGGTACATGTGTGTGCTGGTGTGTGCATATATACATTAGAAGACCAAACTCAATGATTCCCTTCAATATGTACTGAAGCATGGCACCTCCCTTGATTGCAGAGCTCAAAGATTCATTTAGTCCAAGTGGCTTGCTCTGGCAGTCCTGTCTCTGCTTTCCATGCTCTGGGATTATAGGCAGGCATTCATGTACTAAAGGCAGCTGGCTGGATGCTGCTTTGACTCCTGATGTTATGCGAGTGCAGTAAGCACTTCATGAAATAAACTACCTCTCTAACTTCTATATTTTACTTATTTTGGCAATATAAAGTTAAAATTGATGAGTACTCTTTGTCTCCATAATAGAAGAATGTTCTTGTGGATGAGTATACAGAACTGGGCCATTTTAATTGTTCTCATCTTATGTTAATGAATACTCATTTTTTAAAGTTAATAATTAGATGCAAAATGAAAAGTTTAAAAATGATGAAATATTAAATACAGAACCTAGAGATTTAATATCTCATTATACAAAGTAATTATTTAAAAATTGATGCTTTTAATCCTTATATAAACAATAATAAAACAATATAAAGGAAAAAAGAGGGAAGAAAAGATAGTTTGGCTCATCCTTTATGTCAATATTAATATTCCCCAGACTGTGAAGATTATTATAAATAGTATTATAGAAGCACTCATTAATAACCAGATCCTCGCCGGGCGTTGGTGGCACACGCCTTTAATGCCAGCACTCAGGAGGCAGAGGCAGGTGGATCTCTGTGAGTTCGAGGCCAGCCTGGTCTACAAAGTGAGTTCCAGGACAACCTCCAAAGCCACAGAGAAACCCTGTCTCGAAAAACCAAAAAAAAAAAAAAAACCACATCCTCAATATTTTGAATTTCAGAATATTTCATGAAAAAATAAAATCATGAAGCAAATAATACTATGAGTGAGGTTTGCACTCCACAATACAATTAAGCTAAAAAGAAATTCATCTAACATATTCACCCTAAGTGAAAAAATAAACAATCTGATCAACTCAGTATAAGTAGAGCAAATTATGATAATAATAATATCCATTTATATTTCATTTATTGGAAAAATGAAATTAGAAAATTTCTTCCAAATTTCAATAAAGTGTTTCTAGAAACTATATGCTGTTAGCATTAAAAACAGTAATTTAAGAAAATTGTGGCTAGTATCCATTCCATGCCTTAAGGCAATAGAAACATGGAGACAAGAAAGAAAAATCAATGTATCTCTACTCATAGGGGAGGTGTTTGGGTGAATAAAGTAGCTAATGGAATCTATAAAAACAATGCATTGTTAAGTGAATGTACTAAGGTTATACATTTTATTTTTTGATCCAGTGATGTTCAGTTTTAATTGGTGAATTGTTACAATATAGGATCACTTGGGGAAAAAGGTCTCTAGGAAAGTTTGTGAGAGATTGCCTTAATTGCAATGATTAATGTAGGAAGGTCAACCCACTGTGGGTAGAACCATTCTTAGGCTTGGCATCCTAGGGTAAGTGAAAAAAGAAAGACAGTTAACAAACAGCAGGTATGCATGAATCTATTGCTCTCTGCTTTAAACTATGGCTGAAATACAACGAATTTTCTCAACTCGTGTCACTGTCACTTTCTGAAATTATGGATTGTAACCTGGAACTATGGGATGAATAAACTTTTTCTTACATGAATTGCTTTTGTCAAGTATTTAAATCATGGTAACAAAAATAAAACTAAGACAAATTTCATAAATTGTATACTTCCATATACTCAAAACTGTGAATTATTATTCAAAGACAATATATCAGCATATGCAAAATTAAATTTAACAGTTAAAGTTGACATACATAACATAATAGAGCAAATGGTTTTAGATATCTACACAGCACTTATATAACAAACACAGAATATCCACTCATTTTAATAGAATATTCTACAGAGTAAATTAGAAGACAGAAGTAAATTTCAACACATTGAAATACCTTGAAATTTTTCAGAACATCTTTTCTTTTTTATTTAAATAAAACTAGAAGCCAATGAGAAAATACTTGAAAAAAATTAAGACAATTCAAATCCAAAGGTATTAAAGAGATTACTCTTTTATTTATCAGTTTTCTGCAATTTTTGTTTTATTTATTAAATTAGCATGCAAAATAACAAATTTGTTCGTGGTAGTTTCACTAATATAATTAGTTGATACTATCCCCCAATACTCCCTTCCATTCCTGTCTCTGTGTAACACACACACGCACACACAAACACACACAAAATAAAGTTACTTCATTTACTATAACATTTTCCAGTTTCATCTATTTTCCTCCAAACTTTATGATTTCATTCTTTACCCCTGAATAAAATCCCACTGTGTATATCATGATTTCATCACCTATCCATCTTTTGATGGACATGTAGACTATTTCCATTGCCTTGCTATTATGAATGAAAGGGCAAATATCTTTGTTGAATAGTCAGTGTTAAGAGAATCATTGACATTAATGATATAAATTTCCCCCTGTGGGAGAAGAGGAGGGGAGAGGAGGACATGGAGGAGCAGGAAGGTTGAGTCTGGGAAGAATAGAGGAGAGCAGGATGAGAGATACCATAATAGAGGGAGCCACTATAGGTTTGAGGGGAGATCTGGCAATAGCAAGATTTCCAGAGATCTACAAGGATGACACCAACTGGCAAACTAAGCAATAGTGGAGAGACAACCTTAAATGCTCCTCTCTGATAATGAGCTTGACTACTTCCTTATATGTCATCCTAGAACCTTCAACCAGTGACTTATGGAAGCAGAGGCAGATACCTACAGCTAAACACTGCACTGAACTCCTGGAACCCAGTGACAGAGAGGGAGAACTGATGAGCAAAGGGGTCAAGACCGGGCTTGTTTAACCCACAGAAACAGCTGATGTGAACAAGGGGAAGTTCTTGGACCCCAGACTGATGTCTGGGAGGACAGCATGGGACTGATCCAGAACGCCTGAATGTAGATGTCAGTGAGGATGCCTAGGAAATCTATGGGGCCTTGGGTAGAAGATCAGCATTTATCCCTGGCACACAAATGAACTTTGGATGCCCATCCCACAATGATGGATACTCTTTCAGCCTGGACTCTTGGGGAGGACCTAGGCCTCCCCTGAACGAAATAACACACTCTGGAGATCCCCCATGGAGGGCCTTACCCTCCCTGGGGACCAGAGTGGGGATTGGGTGGGGGACTGGGTGTTAGGGGGGTGTGTGGAGCAGGGGATGGAAAGGGGGCTTGGATTGACATGTGAGGCAACCTTGTTTCTAATTTAAATTTAAAAAATCTTTAAAAAATATAAATTTCTTGAAATAAATAAATATTGAAATTCAGTACACCCTGAAGAACTTATACCAATATGGCTGTTTATAGAAATTAAATCTTGCCAGGCAGTGGTGGTGCACACCTTTAATCCCAGCACTCATGAGGCAGAGGCAAGTGAATCTCTGTAAGTTTGAGACCTGCCTGGTCTACAAAATCTAGTTCCAGGACAGGCTCCAAAGCTACACAGAGAAACCCTGACTCAAAAAAACAAAAAAAATTAATAATAATAATAAGAAAGAAAGAAATCAAATCCCTCATCAAATATTCGGAAATGTCTCTAACATACATTGTACTGTATTTTTATTATTATTACTTATTATTTTTTTAATTAGAAACAAGCATGCTTCACATGTCAATCCCAGCTCCCTCCCCTCCTCCTGAACCTCCCACCAGTGCCCCTAGCCTCCCACCCAATCTCCACTCCCTTCCCCACTCTAAAGTGCTGTGAAAGCAAGAAATTGTGTTCAAGAGCATTATAAAATTATGGTTGTGAAATAAGTTAACAATGAAAGTAACAAATTATCTAAAAAGTAATTCAAATAATAAAAGTTTGATGATATAGACGTAGGAGTAGAATGCAGGTCATTAGATACTATAGAGATTATCTTGTATACTTTCCCTTTTGATTTGATGTAATACAAGGAGAGGCAGCGGCAGGCAGATATCTGAGTTTTAGGCTAGCCTAGTCTACAGCGTGAGTTCTGCGACAACATTTCCAGAACACTGGCTAGCTTATATAGCTATGTCTGTTAAACAAATTCGGGACAAGTGCATTCAGTAGCATCTGCAGAATGTTCTTTAAGCAATATGTTCCAAAGAACTGAGCACTGGGGCCCACACGAAAGTTTCTTTGATGTTCACATTTGTACAGATCAAATTGCCCACAACTTACAGGAAAAGTTTAAAGTTTAAAAAGCCTGCCTTCATTTTATATTTCAGAAATACATTCTTTCATCTTGCCTCCAGGCTTTCTTCACAAAGTTTTGCATGATTGAAACGTGTATTTCTATCTATCATCTATCTATCTATCATCTATCTATCTATCTATCTATCTATCTATCTATCTATCTATCTATCTATCTATCTAATCTCTAGCTCTACTAAATCTCAATCTATATCTATGTGTCTATGTGTCTATCATCTATCTGTCTGTCTATCTGTCTAACATCTATCTACCTATCTATCGTCTATCTACCTATCTATCTTGTTGTTTTTCCTAACTTGTTTGGACAGAAATAGCTTAAGTGTAAGAAAATTAGTATTATCAAATTACTCCTTCTGGTTTGTATAACCTTCTTCACATGTGAGAATATTTTTACAAGCCCAGGACTCCTCAGGAAGAATAAATTAACAATATATAGATTTACTTTGTGTAGAATTTCCTCACTGAACTACAGCATTAAAACACCTGAACAATGCATTTTAAAGATCAGTAATTATATTTTGTAACAAACATGAAACATGTTCCCAAAATGTATATGTTGTTCAGAGAGAGATGATAGCCCCTAGTTAACAATAATTCACTATGTCATTTGATAATATCCAAATACATTATGATATGAAATCAAGACTGCTTGAAAAAAGAAAATTGTTAAGATCTCTACATTTTACTGAAGTACATTGAATACATCTTAGATCAAAGTAGCTGATACTATTGTTCTCTTCTTAAAACCACCTTCCATGTTTATTGTTGGATTAATAAACAAGCATCACTTTACAGTAAATACAATAGGGCAAATAGACTTACAATCTTGGTATAGACATTTCTCCCACTTGTGACTTGCCAGGGCCTAAGATTGGTGATGTGGAAATGTGATGTCATAAAGAGCACAAGAACCCTGTGACTTAAGGAAAATGTTGAGAATTCTTTCTGCTTGGGTTTTCTGTCATCTAAAATTCTAAGATTAAAGTTTACTACAATTTAGGATTAATGAGTAAGCTTAAAAACCACAGTCACATTTTAATAAATACTTGATTTTGAATAGTTTCTGTTTATTCATATGTTGGAGTTTTGGTTCCTTTGCTTACTTTTATTAGTTTATTTGAGACAAGGTCTCTCCATGTAGTCCTGGCTGTTCTGGAACTCCCTATGTATTTACATCAGGTTGGCCTCAAACTCACAGAGATTGTCCTTCGTTACAAGTGCTGGAAAAGGCATGTGCCACCATGCTGGACCTTACTAGCATGTTAGAAAACATAAATTTCAACGTTAACTCTGACAATCTGTCATAACCCAAATTCATTAATTTACCTCGTGTTAAGTCTTTTGCCTAACTTTACATTTTGCATTCTTAATCTTTATATTCAATGTGTAAAATATGTCTGAAACTTCACACTGATGGGGTTGAAGAAATGACTCAGTATTTAAAAGTACTTGCTTTTCTTGCAGAGGAATGTGTTCAGTTCCTAGCATCAATGTTGGGATTGTCACAAAGTCCTATATATATATCCCAGCTTCAAGGAACATGGCATCCTTTACTGGCTTATGTGAGCATGCACACCTGAGTGTACATATTCATATCCATCCACAGAACTAAAATACAGTACTCTAAAAATTACAAACACAATGAAATATATATAACTGTGTGAAACAATAGAAATATGTGGTATTTGTGTTTCAGAGGCAGCTTTATTGTTCCTGTTCCCAGTTCTTTTCATTTTCCTTCATCTAATTATTTTATGGTTTAATAAGTCTTCATTCTTTATATTTAGTCCTTTTTTATTCATTATTTGTTTGATGATGCATATAGGTTCATTTCAATTCTAAGGGCCAGTAAGCATGCATGGACAACTTACAGTCCTTTGGACATACATCCAACAGAGGTTTGTTGAGAAGCTTCTACACTGATTTGCTAAGGCAGTTTACATTCCTGCCAGCGTTCATAAGGGTTCGTCATTACCCAAGACCTCAGAAGCATTTACTGTTGTTTGATTTCTTGATGTCAGCCATTCTGTGATGTAATACCAATTCATTCTAGCAATCAGACCACCACTTTTCTGTCTTTCTATCTGTCTTACATCATCACATCTCACCTCGATCGTCCTCTAAACCCATTGTAGAGGCAGTGCTTTGAGTAAGAAATGTCTGTAAAGGGCTCAGGTATTTGAGCACTTGGTCTCTTATGTTATAGCACTGTTTGAAGAGATCATGGAAACTCTAGGAGATGCAACCTTGCTGGAGGCAGTACACCACTAGTGGGGCAAGAGAGGGTGAGAGTTTCTAGTCTCATTCCTCTTGCAGTTTACTCACTCTGCTTCTTGTATATGCAAAGAAATGTGTTTGCTATGTGACACTGTACCTTTTGATGTCTACTCATCCCAGGTAGGGAACCAATAACAGACTACTTGAGTACATAGTTCATTATTATATATTGATGACATGTGTTTCCTTTAATTTTAAAGGGATTCACAATTAAGTTATTGCTCTGATTCTCAGAAACATCTTAGGGCCCTTGGAAAGCATAAATTCTGTTAAAGGCTCCGGAGAATGGAAACAAGTTTTGCATTATGATATGGCTATGTGTCTGTGGAGGCCAGGGAGTGGCATGTAGTGACTGAGAAGTATTCCCTAAAAGCTCAGATATTTGAACACTGAGCTGCTTGGGTGTTTTCTGAAACTTTCAGGAAATGGAACCTTGTTAGAGGATGTGTGACCCTAAGGAGGAGGTGGTTGAGAGTTTATGTCCCTTCCCCACTTTGATTTCACATTGTCTGCTCCTTGAGTACACTGAGATATGACTAGTCCCATTTCAGTTATAGTCACTGATATGTATTTTTCAATGTGAAACCATAAGCCAAAATAAACTCTCTCAAAAGTCACTTTTGGTAATGGTGTTTTATCACAACAATGAAAAGAAATGAATACACCACACCCATAAAGTATACATTGGGAATGGTAAAAAATAAGAGTTTCATAATAATTTCACATCTCTATGATATGAAACGAACAGAGACAGACACACACTGTATCAAATTAAAGCATGTCTGTTCTTATAGTTACTGAATTATACATATTTAAATTGCATAAATCAAGGATAGCAAAACTTTGTTTTTCACAGTTCAAATGTTCAAATTTCCACATGTTAAGGGTAAAATATCTTGCAGGTTTTTTGGTGAGACATTGTGTGAAGGACCAGAGAAATAGAAATTATAATCAAAACTACTTATATCTATTGTCTATATGTTGCTGTAATAAAATCTTTGAAATAACTTATCGATTGAAAAGTTTATTTGACCTCATGTTTTTGAAAATTTTAATTCAATATCACATAGGACCATTGTTTTGGGTCTTATCAGCAGGGCAGGGGTTTGAGGTGTGCATAATGGAGTAAATTTTCAACATCTTTTTTTCCAGGAAGCAAAGGGATGTGGAGGAGTAGTGGAGAGGAGTAGTTGAGGGAACAATATTAGAGAAAGGGAAAGAAGGGAAGAGGAATGATGGGAGGGGAAATGAAAGAAGGGAGGAGAGGAAGAGAGGGGAGAGGAGAGGAGAGGAGATGGGGGGAGAGAAAGGGAGGGGGAGGGATGGGAGGGAAGGGAAGGGATGAAAAGAAGGAGGGAAACTGGGTCCCCACAGCTTCTTCAGTAACATCTTAATTGAATAGCAGCCTACTATTGTGCAGCATGTAGCAATAACACCACCCTGAAGATTATTAAATCAACACCTAAACTTTCAAGCATCATTTATAAAAACCATAAAAGGAATATTACATCAGTCACAGACTTTTATTTTAATAAATCATTAATAAATCTTTTAAATTTTGCATCAAAAATTCTCATATCATAAAATACAATCTAGGAAAATAAGACAAAGATAAAATTTTTAGAATTTTCCTTAATTCTCTTAATAATTTATGTTGCACTTCTATTACAGCCTACAAGATGAATATACCATTCAGTAAGTAATTTATTACTGGTAATATATCTTCATATATTATATACATTATCACATGATTCATTTAAGACAGTCATCTCAGTCATGTAGAGAGAGGGTTGCTTGCTTTCAATTGTACTTTCTTTAAATTTAATTCAACACTATATTTTCTTCCTCTTACAATGATAAATTATGCCAATGAAATAACTTCAGTAATGCATGCAAGAATATGATACATGTACAATTTCCACTGTGCCATGTATAGCAAAACTGTGTATTGTAAATGGCAATGTGAGAATAGGATATTTTGACTTTGAGAGAATTGATTTAACAAGTGCCCAGAATATTTCCAACTGCTCCTTTCCAATCTTATATTAATATACATCTGTTTTATTTGTTTAAGATTATTCTCTGAGTGCAAATATATGTCAAATTAAAAAATGTGTTGTAGTGTAAATGTCAAAATATTGTGTTTCTGACACTCAGATTCTGCAGTAACCACTTAAAACAAAATCATTTGGCTTTAGATCACAGATACTCAGTTCATATTTTCATCTACAGAACTTTTAAAAAATTTTATTGTATGATCCATGAAATGCAAACACTATGACTGTGTTATAATTTTCCCTGAATTTATAAAACTACAGAAACCTAGAGCTACTTTCCAGTCTGTTTCGGTAAAGTGATTAAAAAATAAAAATAATTGATTTAATCTACAGATTATCAAATTCAGAGCATGACATAGTTCCTCATGCTATCTCAGTTATTAACCTGAATTGTGAAGGATCATAGTTTTTCTGTTTTCAAAAGTGTTTTTAAAGAGATTGATAATCATATAGAACTACCCAGGAAAGCAAGAGAGCCTTAAATATGTACACAGTAGACTTTTAACATTTGCTGGAGTTTGGATATAGTTTATTTCTGAAGGTTTTCCCATACAGGCAAATTGATTCCAGTGGGTTTGTGTTGATGGAATCTTGAAGAGATATGATATTTTGAAAGTAATTGGGACCTAGTGTTCCATCATTGTAATAAATTAAAGCTTGAATAACAATGTATGTTGGATCTTATGCCAAAAACTTAGATCTCCTGGGAGTGGCTGTTACTAAGTAAGTTCATCTAGAGTACTTGGTTCTTTGTGTAGATGGATGTTTTTATTTTTGTTTCTTAGTCATGTTACACCACAGCCATCATTTCCTTCCACAGGACATTGATGTCACACTGCGTGGACCTTGCAGCTCGTTAAACTATACGTTAAATTAACTTCATATTAACACAAAACTCATAGCAGTTCCCAGTACCGGTACACTCACAAGCTTTCTGAATGACAAAAATAAACCATTAAAATTTTGGAAAATACACAATATCCATTATTTGACTTGTTAAATTATTTCTCCCAAGTTAACAATAATATTACCTTTTCATTAATTACCCCTCACTTGCCTAATACCAGGAAAATTTTTCTTTTTGTGCAGACTTTTTTGAAATGTTAAATAAGTAAACTTATTTATAAATCCAATGCATATTTGTGGCAGTGAATATACAGAAAAAAGCCTGCATTTGTTATTTTGAGTGGTAGTTAATTCTTGGGGAAATCAAACTCATACCGAGAACCTAAATGCTGACACTTTCAGTAGTCTCTGAAGCTATGTTTTTGAATGTGTGAAAGTATGTGAAGCAAGAACTACATTTGAAACTGTCTCAAAAGTGAGAATTTCTCTATATGTTTTTTATAGCAGTTAACATAATTTAAAACTTTCTTACACATATGATTACAAATGGAACTACTACTGAATAATTATAATTATGTGGATGTTGTGAATAAATACAAATTTATATCAAAGATGCCTAGTTGGCAATACTTTTTATATATATATAATAAATGGTTCAATTTTTTTCTTGATTTTATGAGACAGGGTTTCTCTG